GGGGACTGCAACAAGGTCTGGAAGACAGCTGGGCTAAATGGAGAAAGACACGAGACCAGTAGGGGGTTCTTTGGAGAAAGACACGAGACCAGTAGGGGGTTCTTTGGAACGGGGGTGGGGGGGCGAGGTGGGGAGGTAGAGGGGACGCGAAAGCGGCGCACCTGGGTGGCCCTGCCCCTTAGTCGAATGGGGAAAGAGTCCGCACTGGAGAAGACGGAGCTGAGGGGGCGCGGAAGGGGAGACTAGAGCCCTTCCAGGAAGTGGGGAGCGGCTCAAGCGCTCTGAGATGCCTTCCGAGGCTGCTGGAGGATGGCGTTAGGACCTGGCGGCCTACCCAGGGCCCAGACTCGCGTCTTACTCCTCAATTCCGTTTTTCCGGGACTGTGACTTTAAGAGTGACGCGAGAGACGTGTGGGCCCTTTAAGGGGTCCGGGGCGTGTCAGGAAATGAGTCCTGGGCCCGCCTCGCCGGGGGAGGTGGCTTCGGTTGTCCGGAGGCTCTGGGCTGGAGCGGGCGCTGCATGGACAGGCGACGGCCTGCCCCGCGTCCTGGGGACCCATTCCCTGGGCTCCTCTGACTTCCCCTTCATCTCCTTCTATCGTCCTGTACGCCCTCCCTCCATTCAGCTCCCTGCACGTCTTCCCTCTCCTTGCACACCCCCTCTGCGCCCTTTCCCCACATCTCCCCTCCGCCCTATTCTCTCGTCTTCTTCCTCCATACCTCGCCCTGACCCTTCTTCCATTCTATCGCCCCTTCCGGTCTTCTTAGCCTTAGTCCCCGCTAGGGGACTGACCCAACTCCTTCCTGTGTCGTGTCTCATGAGCCCCCTCAGGGTGAAAGCAGGTTGTGCTGCACCAAAGTAGAAGAACTGTGGTGAGACCCGGAGACCACTCCCCTGTGACAGTTGAGGGCAGCAGAAAGCAGAAGTGGCCTCCAGGGAGTCAGGGTTTGGGCAGTGGGGTGACCCAGCTCCTCTGCTACCATGAACAGGGCCCCTCTGAAGCGGTCCAGGATCCTGCACATGGCCATGATGGGAAGCTCAGACCCCTCCGGAGAGGCGGAGGGCAGCGAGGAGAAGCCCTTTCTGATGCGGGCGTTGCAGATCGCACTGGTGGTCTCTTTATATTGGGTCACCTCCATCTCTATGGTGTTTCTGAACAAGTACTTACTGGACAGCCCCTCCTTGCGGCTGGACACCCCCATCTTCGTCACTTTCTACCAGTGCCTGGTCACTGCGCTGCTATGCAAGGGCCTTAGCACACTGGCTGCCTGCTGCCCGGGCTCTGTGGACTTCCCCTCTCTGCGCCTGGACCTGAGGGTGGCCCGCAGTGTCCTGCCCCTGTCCGTGGTCTTCATCGGCATGATCACCTTCAATAACCTCTGCCTCAAGTACGTCGGCGTAGCCTTCTACAACGTGGGCCGCTCGCTCACCACCGTGTTTAATGTGCTGCTCTCCTACCTGCTGCTCAAACAGACCACCTCCTTCTATGCCCTGCTCACCTGTGGCATCATCATTGGTAAGCAGACCGGGAGTGGGGTGGGCTTGGGGGATCAACCCTTCTAAGAGCTTTGAACTGTATCTGTCCCAGCTCCCATGGTGCAGCAGGCATATGAAGAAGAGCCTGAGGCCTAGCCAGGGCAACAGTAATAATAACAACAATAACAACAACAGCATTGCAAAAATCAAAAGCAATAAACTCCAAGTGCTTGCAATGTGCCAGATACCAATCTAAATGCTTTTACCCATATAAACTCAACTAATCCTCAGAAAGAGATCTGATCACAGCCCACATTTTATAGAAGGAAGACTAAAGCTAAGAAAGACAAGAGAGGTTACGGAACTTGTCCAAGGTCACACAGCTAATAAGTGGCAGAACTGAGATCTGAATTCTAGCTGTCAAGCTCTGTAAACCCAAGGACCCTGATTTGTAGCCAGTGCTCTTTCTAGAGGACCATGTGACTTTTAATGACTACTTCCTCGGATCTTGCTGTCTCTGGGTAATTCTTGAGACAGTGCCCAGAGACGGGGCTTGGAGAGGTCTTAGCTGCCTTCCCAGTCTTGCCCCTCAGAAAATAATCATCATTTCACATACAGCATCTGAGAGGTCCCTTCACTATAATCATCTCCATTTTACAAATGAGAACATAGGCTCAGAAAGGTTAAGTTACTTGCCCAGAGCTGCACAGCTAGTAAACGGTCCAGTTGGCCTATACTTCTAAAACCACTCTGCTCTGTTCTTCTCCAGAGAAGATTTAGATTTGCACTGTCCAATACAGTAGCCACTAGCCACAGATGGCTATTTAAATTTTAATTTGTTAGAATCCAATGAAAGAAAATTTTCAGTTCTTTTTTCACAGGTGGTGTAACTTGATTCTGTAGCCACATTTCAGGTGTTCAAGAGCCACGTGTGGCTAGTGGCTCCAATAGTGGACAGCATATTCCAGAACATTTCCATCATCACAGGACATTTGACATGGTGGCAATCTGGGTTGGAGATTCCTCCAGAAATCCATTCCCTCAGGGTGCTTCTAAATCTGTTGGCTAAGAATGTGATCTGTTCAGGTTTTCCTTGGTGCCAGAAAGTTCCTAGTTGACCTACATACTCTTCGATGTTGATTAGAGCCTGAGGATGAAGAACACTGGTTTGAGAGGCCTCTCCCATGCTACCTGTCCTAGAAATGTTCCCACTGGATCTAGAGTCACCCAGCCTAGGCCCAAGCAGGAAGGCTGGGTGAAGGAGGGCAAAGTTAGTAGGTAAGGAGCCCTTGAGACACCCCAGCAGGAATGGAGTTCACCAGTCTCAGTCCTCTCTCCCACCACCCCAGATGCCCCCCAGGATTTTAACTACTGTCCTGCTGAGCCTGTCAGGAGTGGAGGGAGACCCTTTTGGGGAGGAGAATTCACAAGCAAGAAGGTGGTCCCTAGGGAAACTGGGTCCCAGCCCAGGAAGTAATCAAAGGAACCTCCTGGCGCAGGGGGACATGGGGGCTGGTGGTCTCCCTAGCTGCTCCAGGATCTGGCTCGCTTTCCTGCCTGTCCCTGTGGGGAAGACAAGTCCTCCAGGCCTCCTCTCCCTGTCACCCCATGTCATGTGGCACCTTCCCGAGCTCCTTCTGGCTGAAAGCCCCTCTCTCCCACCCCCACCAAGGTCTGGAATCTTGAGATTCACTTCTCTTTTGTACCCAAAGGTACCAGCCAGAGGAGGTAGGCTAAGCAGGCAGTCTCATGGTCTGTGGACACCTACTGTGCCCAGGCTATGCCAAGGGAAGGAGAGTGGGTGTCCAGGTTCTTGTAGGTGCCTCTTCTGCTTTGAAGCCCTGGGGTGGCACTGTAGGACTGCTAACCACAAGATTCAAACCCACCAGCTATTCCTTGGAAATCCTGTATAGGGTCTCTTCGTGTCACAAGTGACTCAACAGCACTTAACAACAACTTCTTTACTATCTAGGTTGTTGCTATATACAACAGAACAAAATGTTTCTTAGTCTTGCTCCATCTTCACAATTAGTGGACCTCGAGTCTCTTGTTGTGGCCACTGTGTATTTTGTGTGCCTTCCAACCTAAGGGGCTTATCTTTCAGCCCTGTGTCAGACAACATTCCACTGTGATCCCTAGGGTTTTTACTGGCTAACTTTTAGAAGTTGATTGCCAGACATTTATTCCTAGTCTTAATCTGGAACCTATGCACCATGGGTGACCCTGATGGTATTTGAAATACCAGTAGCATAACTTTTCAGCCCACAAGCACATCATAGCAACATGCAAGCCACCACAGTACAACATACTCATAATACTTACAACAACTTCCATTTGTTGATTTATTCATTAAAAATCTAATTAATTGATATAGTCCAGAGCAAGCCAGTCACTGTGCTAGGCTTTGGAGATACAGGTCTGGACTCAGTTCCTGCACTTGGAAAAGAATGTTACAGTAGATGACTGTTATACTGAAGTGCTGAAGACTGTGATGAGGACATAGAAGATGCAGGATTGAGATGGGGCAATCCAAGCAGGCTTTCTGGAGGAGGTGCCGCATGGGTAAACAGGGTAGAGTAGGCAGAGAATGTTCTAGGCAGACGGAAGAGTATGTGCGCTTCCTCATGGCTGGGACAGAATGAGCTTGCAGGTATGAGGCTGCCCAGACAAGCCCACTTGACATGGTGCTGGCCTTGAGAACTGAGTATGGCTGCAAGGTGGAGAATAGATTGAAGTAGGAACTCAAGAAACTAACCCAGATCTTTACAGATGAAGGAAATCGGAAGTCAAAGAGGTTAAGTAACTTAAACAAACAACAACAACAAAAAAAGCTTTTGATTGTGAATTGTGTGAAGGCTTATAGAACAAATCAGTTTTCTGTTTAACAGTTCATACCCATTTTGTTTCATGTCATTGATTACAGTCCCCACAACGTAACATCACTTACCCACATCTTCCCTGTGTTTCCTGTTTCCATTCATCCTCATCTTCTAGCCCTGCCTGCCTATAGAACTTTGTTCTTGGGTAAATGCTGCTCGTTTGGTCTTAACTGGTTAATTTTTGTAAGGAGTGTATTTGTTCACCTGATAGACCTGCCTGTTGTTTGCCTATTGTTGGGGCTGGGGCTACAGCTGGTATGAAGTCCAACCCTTGCCTTCTGGGACTCTGGAGCCTACGGAAGGTTCTGATATCCCTATGGCTGGTGTCTAGCAGCCAGGGCAGCCTGGGTTTTAAAGGAAAACGCAGCAGGAAGAGGTGAAGAAGAGGTCTGCGTGCTTGAGGTATCAGGAAAGGCCTCCTCTGGAAGAATGAGGGAGGAGAGTGTTTCAGGAAATGAACAAGGACACTGAAGCCCTTGAATGAGAAGCCAGGCGAGGAGAGGATGACTTGGGGCAATCATGGGACAGAGAGGGGGTGACAAGGATGTGGGAAGTCCAGGGTGCCAGGCTGAGGTGGGCAGTGGGGGACCATCAAGGTTTTTAACAAGGAGGTGGCATGAGACTAGAAGCTCATAAAGAGTGTTCAAACAACTTCATATCACGAACAAGTCAACAAGTCCACCTTATCACTCATCTTGACTCTGTGGGATGCTCTCAGTTTACAGAAGAGGAAGTTGAGGCTAGGAAACCTGAAGTCACTTGTCCACAGTCCTCTAACATACTAAGTAATACTCGCCCTCCAGAACTCAGCTCAGAGAGCACTTTCCAGATGCCCCAAGCCAGCACAGGGGATCCAGTTAGGGATCCGGCTGCATTGTAATTCCATTGTGTAAATGAGAAATGAATTAATTTCATGGCTTTCTCCTTTGCTAGAATATAAGCTCTGCAAAGAGCTTTGTCTTGTTCTGAGCCATTCCTCCAGCCCTTGCTCTAGGTCTTTGCATGCAGTTGAGACTCTAGACCTATTTCTTGCAGACCACGTTGGGAAGGAGGGAGGGCAGCAAGAGCAGCATTGCACAGCTCATGAACTTGGATGTCAAAAGTTCTGTCCTTTCTCCCCACTGTCCTCCTTGTCCCCCTTCCCCTCTGCAGGCGGCTTCTGGCTTGGTGTGGACCAGGAAGGAGAAGAGGGTACCCTGTCTTGGGTGGGCACGCTTTTCGGCGTGCTAGCCAGCCTCTGTGTCTCACTCAACGCCATCTATACTAAGAAGGTGCTTCCGGCGGTGGACGGCAGCATCTGGCGTCTGACTTTCTACAACAATGCCAACGCCTGCGTGCTCTTCCTGCCCCTACTCCTACTGCTAGGGGAGCTACAGACCCTCCACAACTTCGTCCATCTGGGCAGCGCCCACTTCTGGGGTATGATGACGCTGAGTGGCCTGTTTGGCTTCGCCATTGGCTACGTAACAGGACTGCAGATCAAGTTCACTAGCCCCCTGACCCACAACGTGTCAGGCACGGCCAAGGCCTGTGCCCAGACGGTGCTGGCTGTCCTCTACTATGAGGAGACCAAGAGCATCCTCTGGTGGACAAGCAACATGATGGTACTGGGTGGCTCGTCTGCCTATACCTGGGTCAGGGGCTGGGAGATGAAGAAGGTTCCAGAAGAGCCCAGCCCCAAGGAGGACGAGAAGAGCCCCCTAGGGGTGTGAGCTCCTCCCAGGGCCCTCGGAGAACACTCAGGCTGGGCCCAGGGCAGCAATGAAGACTGTCTTCTGAGCCCAGAGGGGTGGTGGGGAAGGAATAGTGTATATAGATTGGATTGGAACGTGGAGGTTGAAAAGGACGCAACATTTTCAAGTAATGACAGAAAGTTGCAAATCTCTCTACCCCCTTGCCTGTTTCTGGGGTTTTGTCCTCACCTTGAAAGGAGAGCCCCCATGGGAATAGCCAGTTAAGCTCTCTAGAAGAACTAGTTCTTGGGGAAGGGTAGAACATGCCACCCCTGCCTGCCCTCTTCCCAGGACCTGTCTGCCTCCACACCAGCCCTGAAGTTGGGGACAGCCTATGACATTTAAGGGACAATTTTGGTGAAGCCATTATGTCTTCACAAGACTCAGGGGAGCTGGTCTCCTGCGCAGACCAATGGAAGGGGTTTATCCAAGAAAGCTCACTTGGGGCCCTGAGCAGGCAGCCTGACCCCACAAACCAGCCTGCCTTCCTAGGGAAGTGTAGGCTGGTACACCCAGGGGCTGCTGGGAATGTCATGGATCATGGGAAAGCATCCTATCCCCACTGTCTGCACCCCACACTTGAAGCTCTGGATGTGGAACCCCCACATCTTTTAGGGGTTAAGCAGGGTCATTTAACAACATTTCTGGACAAGTTTTACTGGCTTCACTCTCTTGACTCCCAGTACCTGGCATAGCTGCTTGGCTCAGGGACACAGCCTTCTGGTCATGGAGCCAGGAAGCTTCTCTGCCTTCCCAGGGTACTGGGAACCCCTAGATTCCAGTGGGGAAGATGGGACAACCTGATTGAGCCTCTCCTTGCCAAGAAGATAATGGACATCTGAATTCCTCCCTGAGGCTCAGGCCTGAAAAAACCTGCTTTCCCCACCTCACTCTCCCTCCCTTTCTGGGGGGCTCAAGCCCTGACATTTTGTACTCCCATCTTCTTGGGGTAGTTTCTGATGTTTTCAGTCCCTGTAGTGAAGGGTTGGGGAGAGCAGGTCTTCTCCCCTTGCCACCCCCTTCTCGGTCTCCTCACAATCCCACATGGTTTCTATTGAAGTTGGTGGAGCCAAATGCCCTCAACTGTTTGTGATTTAATAAAAAATAGAATTTGACATCCATGTGTAGAGTGAATGGTGGGAGGGGAGACGTGGCCAGTCGGTTTGTGAACAAGGCCCCTTGGAGAAGCTATGCATACATGAGAAGGAAGGTGCCCCTGCCCTCACCAAGCTGGGGTGCCTGTGCAGGACTTCCAAGAGCCTTCTCCTTCTGGGAAGGGTGCATCCAAAAGGCCCAAATACCAGGATCCTTCCTATGAGGGAAGGGGCTGCTAACCACAAGGTCAGTGGTTCAAACCCATCTGCAATTCTTAAGGAGAAAGATGAAGCTGTATTCCCATAAAGATTTACAGTCTGGAAACCCCTATGAAACAGATCTCTGTCCTATAGGATCACTGAGTGAATCCACTTGAGGGAAATGAGTTTGGAAGAGTGGGCTTCCTGGAAGGTTGGTACCTAGACCTCAAGGTCCAAAATTTCCAGTTGCCTTTGAGTCTGTTTCAACACATGGCGACCGCGTGTGTGTTTAGGGTTTCCTTGATGTTTTGTTAAAAATAGACACAACTGACCTACACCTATGGATGCAGTAGCTCAAAAGAGGGAACAAATATTTACAGTGAGGATCATTCCCACCCCCTCCATACACAGAATGGACAGGGATGGGCAACTTGGACTTTGGCTACCCAAAATGGGGGGGGGGGGCTTCAAAGGCAAAAATTGACTGGCTTACAAGCTTTCAAGAGGGATCCTAGATCCAAATTGTATGCGGAGGAAGGTAGAATCTCCACTGAGCAGTATTCAGTCTGGGCCGGGCTGATGAAAGGAGATGCGGATAGGTCTCTTGTGATACTGTAGTGAATAATTGTTACCGGGACTGACTATGAGGGTTGGAAATGTAAAGGTAGACGTTATATAGCAAAAGGAGGGGAGTGGTTGACTGCAGTCCAGGAGCAGAGGTCCCTGGGACCATCAATGGAGAAGAGCGGAGAGTGGGACCCTACCCAGAGAAGCAGTGACACCAGACATGGAGGCAGAGATGATGACATGGAGAGATGGTGCGGCTGGGAACTTTAGACCCAGAGAGGGAGAGGGGCTGTGTGCTGACGATTGGAGGGCAGGCTTGCAGGGTATACCCTATGGTTGCTTGATGATGCATGGAGGGGATTGTAACCATGGCAATGAAATGATATATGATAGGACGAATGTAAAGTTAATGTTCGCTCATGTAAACTATCACATAATTCACAATAAAACATTAAATATATATATACACAGCTGAACACATGCCACTTCAACGATTTCTGCATGTACACTGCAGTGACATTAATGACATTCTTCAAGTTGCATAAGCATTCTCCCTGCACATACACAAAAACGCACAAGGTGCACAGATGGGCTGGAATCATGGAATCAACACTTCCCATGGACCTCCATTCTGACACAGATGAAACCTGGGGAACAGCCAGGAGACAGACTTCCAGCATCCCAGGCTACTCCCACAGGCAGCAGTACTACCCTCCCCCCACCCTTCTAGCTCATCTCTATGGTATTTAAAGAGCCCCTGACCTCCTCCTGGAATGTTACCTTACAAGAAGGCAAACGTGATACCCTTCCCAAAAGCACAGACAACCCATCTTCTCTTCCTTTTCTGAGGGCAGTAGCCATTTTTTAAAAAAGGTGGGTGAGGAGGGAGAATGGAGGACCAGTGGCCTGGCCATTTTTGGTCCATTTCTGCCTTTGAAGAGCACTTGAATAGGAGACCTAGGATTCACTTCTTAGAAGCTACATGGCTTCAGCAAGCTGGATCTCACTTTTTCTACCTAAGAAATGGGGATACTCCTTTCCCCTCCAACCACATAAGATACACATCTAACATGCTAGCGCAGTAGCCAGCATACTGTACCACTGTTACTATCAGCATCAACAAACCATAGTCTGTTTATTGAGTGCTAAATATGCACCAAGTAGTAGGGAGACAAAACAGTGGACAAGACAGTAAAAACAAATAAACAGTTGTGGTAAGGACAATGAAAGAAACTAACTGAAAACCAAAATGGAGGTGCTCAGAAGTGAAGTGTGTTAGTTACCTAGTGCAGTTGGAGAAGAGTTCTGGTGTGGGGCTATGGGTTAATGAGTTGGATTGCAAGTTTGGCTTGAACCACAGGGTCGCTGTGAGTTGGATACAACTCGATGGCACTTAACAACAACAACACTGTTAGAGGAACAGTCCTGGTGTGGTACTGTAGGACAAGCACTGGACTATTAACCACAATGCCGGCGGTTCAAACCCACCAGCCACTCCTCGGGAACCCTATATACAGTGTCACTGTGAGTTGGAACTGACTCAACAGCACTTACGAACAACAACCACCACCTTTGGAGAAGAATATTAAAAGTAACATGGGCTGCCAGAAGAACAAATTTGTGTTGGAAGAAGTATAGCCAGAATGTTCCCTAGAAGTTAGGATGACTAGATGTCATGTCTAGTTCAGGAATTTTACGAGGAGGAATCAGTTCCTAGAGAAGGACAACATGATTGGTAAAGTGGAGGGTCAGCAGAAAAGGAGAAGAACCCCAGTGAGACAGACTGGCACGGTGGTAGCACCAACGGTCTCAAGCATATCAGCGATTGTGAGCATGGCGCAGGTACGGGCAGTGTTGCATTCTGTCGTCATAGATAAGGTCTAGGAGTTAGAACCAACACAACAACCCTAACAACAAATACCACAAGTGGATGGCTCTTAAAGAACAGGAATCCACTGTCTATTGTTGTTGTTGTTAAGCGCTGTCGAGTCAATTCCAACCCATAGCGACCCTGTATAGGGTTTCCGAGGAGCAGCTGATGAGCTTAAACTGCCGACCTTGCAGTTCAAATGGCACATTAACCCACAGCGCCACACCAGGACTGTCTATTAAGAGACTGTCACATCCTTTCTTGTCAGTAGCCCTTGGAATTCTTTGACTTTTAGACATGTTTACATGGTGTCCATGTTCCAACAGAATATAAAAATTATCAAACAATATCATTTAATATCACACACAAGCAGAACATTTTTTGAAGGTGGAGGGTAGGAGTCAGGAGTTAGGGTTAGGGCTATGGCTAGGTCTAGGGTTTTATGTAATATTAGGATTATGGTTAAGTCTAGTATTATTGTTCGGAGAAGGGGTTTCGTTAGGGCTAGGAGTATGACTTGATCTAGTTTCAGGATTACAGTTCAGACTATTTTTATTTATTTACTGTCTTGAAATTTACTTGATTTCCTCTTTGTTTGAAAGTTCTGTAACTTTTTTCTTTTGTTTTTATTGTTGTTTTTGCTTCAAACAGTTAACTGGTTTCCTATTTTCAGTCTTGTACTTAAATTTGTTTTACTTTGGACACTTACATCCGGGTTGAGTTCTGGGTGATAATTGTTATATATGTTAATCTCAGGTGGCTGTCTGTTATTGATTATCTGTCCAAAGAATGTCCTTTAATATTTTTTGTAAGGTTGGTCTAGGTTTTACAAATACTTTTAATTCCTATCTATCTGGAAATGTCCTAATTCACCATCATATTTGAGAGACAATTTTGCTGGACATATAATCCTTCTTTGGCAATTTTTTTTTCTTTCAGAGTTTTATGTATGCCATCCCACTGTCTTCTTGCCTGCATGGTTTCTGCTAAGAATTCAGAGTTTAGTCTTATTGGCTTTCCTTTGTAGGTAATTTTCATTTTTTCCAAGCTGTTCTCAGGATTCTTTCCTTGTCTTTGGTTTAAAGAGTTTGATTAGAATGTCTTAGTGATTTTCTTTTGGGGTCTACCCTGTTTAGAGTTCATTCAGCTTCTTGAACACCTATCTTCTCATATTTCATGGTGTTAAGGAAGCTTTCCTCCAACAATTCATTAATTTTCTCGGTGGTTTTTGGTGTCTCTTCCTGTTC